GGAAGCTGCACATCAGATAAGGTGCATTCTTGCAAAGTGCCATTCCTTGAAAAAAAGTCTTCAGTCTCCACCTTCAGATAAGACCCCGCAAAACTGCATTAGAGAATATATCAAATGGTACACAGACAGGAGAACAGGTAGGAAAGAAGGGAATCCCACCTACACTTCTTATTCTGCTAGTGGCACATGAGCGTACTGTATAGACTGCTTGATCACATGGTTTATGGGGTCTTCTTAACAGCTAGGCTGAGTTATGCAGGTGAAAGTATGATTTGTGCATTTTGTTAACCACATAAGCAAGCTTTAAACTCAGTTTGAATATAGTTAATGTCTTTTTCATTATACATTGGACAAAGATAGAGCTCTGTTACAAGCGACATACACTATCTTGTTTTTTCTTCCTTCTGAGATGCCTGAAGAAAGGAAGAGATGTGATCTATTCCAAATCTGTGAATGAATGCATAAAATATAGTTATCTGACAGGGCCACTGGTATCTTTTCATAAAGACTTGAGTAGCCAGCCTTCGTGTCACTGCACAATCTTTACGGTTGCAGGAGCTTAGCAGGAAGCTTAGAGAGCTTTGCCTGTGTTTTGCTGCTTTTCTCATCAGTGCTTTAATGCCTGCTGATTAAGAGGTCGTAAATCTTTGCGATATTAGCGGAGGAGTCCATTTCCATAGCAAATGACAACCCTTCCCTGCCTCCTTTTAACTGTTATCACGCACATGTGGCAGCTACTTGTACATATCATTGTCACACACACCATATATTCTGTACAATGAATGCTCTTTTCCTGGAAACCTGAACCTCTTACCACTGCTAGAGGGTAGCCTTTACTCTTGAGGTCACCTAACTTGGCAAGTCAGTGAGTTAATGGGTCTGAAAAGATTATCCTAGACCAAAATTGATGTAAACATTCTCCTTTCAATGTAGAACGTATGGGCTTGGATGCCTTTCATCTTTCTTTGCACATTCCAGATGTTTGCTTCTTTCCTCTCATCGTATATACATGGTGGGATAGATAATGTACTGAGTTCAGATTTATGTCTAGAGCATGATGTGTTTGTACTCCGCTTCATTGCACCTTCTTTTTCCCTTTTATTTGGGAAAGGAGAAGTACCTTAAAAGCCTTTTTTAATTCAGGTTTGATTTGTTTATTCAGTGCTTTCCAAAAGCAGTCTGGTTAGAGTCCCTCGTCCCCTTCATTTCCTCTGCTGTTCCCCTGCGATGTATCTCCTTTCAGTCAAGGATGACTCTATGCTGTAGTGGTTTACTCCTTCGGCTGCTTTGAAAAAGTTCTAGAAGGCAGATCTCACGATTTGCTTTGGGAGGGTCCTTGTTTAAAAAAACAAAACAACTCACCAACATAAAACAGATCTTTAGCATTAGGTATTTTGAGAATTAAATGCTAATTTTTCCACAGGTGATACTCTCATATGCATTCACATCTTAAAGTTATAATGGGTATTTCAGTTTTTATCTTTCACTGAATGTCAACAGCCCTTAATGGCTATGTGCTGTTAAAAATTTTCTTTTGTTTTTGGGTTCGACCTGAAGGTCTCTGAAGCTGAACTACTGTTAACTTCTCTAGCATAGGGACAATTTCTCTTTTATCATCCGAATGTCTTTTATTTTTCCCAAGCAGGCATGTTAGGTCTATTAACAAACGTCAGAATCCACAGACCACAGTTATTCCTCTTTTTCCTGTTTTTCCAGTCTTGCTTCTTTGACTGTGAGTCAATCCAGAATAGATTTATTTTTTTTCCTCAACTCAAGGATGGTGTAAACACACTTGATGCAAAATCAAAATGTCTACTCAAGTATCAACAAAAGGTATTTAAAGAACAAGGAAGTGTGCTCTGAGCTAGGACACCATTACCATCTGAAAAAAATTTGTGGTTAATTCACTCAGTAGTTTATATTGTTATATCTTGCTTCTCTTAAATTAGACAATGTTGTTGTCCAATAAAATATGCATCTATTTGTCATCAGATTTGTAGAAAAACTATTTTGGATGATGCTTTCCCCACAGCTTTCTTGATTACTGCACTATGCTACTGATTTCTGTTACTTTTTCTAAATTCTGTGTGCTCCTGTCCTTTCTGTCCCTTGCCCTTGCTCCCACCACTGCCCACTCTGGGTAGGGGAAATTTGGCACCTTTTCTCTTTAGTAGCAGGGAACTTTTAACCATTGACCTTGGCATACTGTGTAACTTACTTTCTAGGTATGCAAACTTCTTGTGAATTACCATGGTGTGTAACCTTAGTGTACCTGAACCCTGAATATACTTTACTTGAAGCTTAGCTGACAAATTCCAGGGATATGTTCCTCTCTCTTGAGTTTTAGGAGAAACAAGATTCAAAATTCTTGAAGCACAAGAGACGACTCAAGGTTTTTTGAGTTAAAATCACCATATACAAAGGCATGTATGGGAGGGAGCAGTTGCCTGGCTCCGAGGGGTGGCCAGGGAGGAGACGACTCTGGCATCCGTGGGTATAGTTCTGCCTCCCTGCTTTGTTGGAGGTGGCTCTCCATTGTACAAGGTGAGCTTGAATGTTGCTTTTTATCCAGTGTGATTTGGATCTGTGTATTGCATGCATGTATATTTATTTATGTATTTCTCTGTAGTTGGTTAATTTTAAATCAAGTACCCCAAGTTTGGGGGGAATTAACCTGAGATATGGCTTTGATCATCAGAAAGCGTTTTATCTTGTGTTCCTTTATTACTTTTCCAGGACTCCAGTTGTAAAATGTTATTCTGGAAGTTCACCTTGTGAATTTTGGCATCATTTGCTGCACAAATTAGCTTGAGATAAATTGATTCACAATTAAGAGTTTGGTCCTCTCAGCGATGGCATTTGGGAAGGGCTTTACCAGAGGTCACTGCTCAGGATGGGACAGGCAGAGGTCCACATGTCCTGGCTGACCATGCCCCTTCCTAGGGCCCTGTCCCGTGCGTCGGGATGTGCTCTTTAGGTTGGCGTCTTGGCCAAAGGTACAGCAGCCTCTGTGCCAGCTGAAGGTCCCCTGCTGCAAAAAGGTCCTTAGCTGCTCAACAGCCGTCTTAATTCTTCAGTTCTCTTCCGGAACGGCAAAGGGAATTCCCTGGTGGGCTGCAGTGGAGGGGAGGTCTGTGCATGCGCCTTTAAAACACTGTTACATACAACAGAGGAAATCAGGATGTAATTAGTGCCGTCTGTATTAACAGGTAGATTGTCTGTGTACTCTTTTAGTACTCTATTAGTACTCTATTAGTAATCCCATCGTGTTTTGGGTATGGCAAATGGATAGATAGAGGAAATTTGTCGTCCTCATAAAATTGAGTGCTTGTGTCTGTAGTGCCCTGGTCTGACATGGGAGTTTGTAAACTTCCTAGCTGTTCAGAAAACATTATCAAGGCTTTTATCTATCTGAAGAAAAAAATAACACCCTCAAAACATAAAACATTGATACTAAGAAATAAATAGATTTTTTAGCTCAAGTGTGCACAGCAGTGGATTTTTAGCTTACATATTTTGGGGTTTTACGATATACTTTTGCAAAGATGTGGGGAATGATTGTATGCTTCCTCTTTTATATACTCTTTAAAGGATAAATCAGCTTTATCATGTGATAAATTTGTGTATGTATACATGACTGTAAAATATATATTTAAATTGTTTTAACAAATTTGACCTTCTCCTGAAACATTTAACAGATTTTTCTCATAATTTCTACAATTCTTATGAATTGCTAGATCACCTTACAATTTTAAATATCCCATTTGGTCAGCCTTTAAGAATTATGTAACTTAGCTCTGTTGAAAGAAGGAAATTCATAAGAAATAATCTGTCAGGCTGAAAGAACTTTGCAATAAGTGAATTGTCATACTAAAAGGGACTTGATTATTTTCTTTCCCTTGGCAGTTTTCTAAGTGTATGCTGTGAATTCAGAAATCACTCTCAACAAAACTATCTACTGTCTGGATCTTGGCTTCTCAGGGCTGTGTTACTGGAAAGCTGAAATGTCTGTCTAATACACTGTTGTGTATGCAAACAGGTATTAAAAATAATCAGAAAAAGGGACTCGACATCTATGATGATTTTGTCCACAGACGACTTCTCTTCCATTAATATTTTAAATTGGTTTTGTGCCTAAGTTGTATGGCTAATTCATTAAGTGCTGTTTAATCAAGTTTTTAGTAGCCTTTTGTTTGTCTACATGAGCCTTCTGTAAGAGGAGAAGGCAAGCTTTAGATACGGGGCTCTATAGTCCCTTGGCATAGTATTGTGCACGTAGCGCGCAGCGCTCCTCTCCCTGGTATGTGAAATGGGGTCATTCTGCTGCACTGACTAAAGGACTGATGGTTAAAAAAAAGTGAGTCGCTTTAACAAGTTTAATTCCCATCAAATACTAAGGAGTATTTTCTCTTACATTCACTGTTTTCCATCATAACGTGGGAATATTATCTACTAGTATTCTTCTGTTCAACACTATACTTTCCTGTTCTAAATATAATGAATTAATATTACGTTAAGATAATGAATATAATATTACATGGCAATAAACACCAATTTAAAAAGTTTTGTTGTATACACTTCAAATACTGAAACCGGAATTATGCTAAGGCATATAGATGGCCTTCTCTTGTTGATACTGACACTTTAAGGCTTTAAGGATGTCTGTTTATGTGATATGATGAGATTTTAATATCAGGTAGAATGTCTGCAAACCCTTAATGAAAAAATCAAAAGTCCCGTTTTACGGACATTAATCTTCTGTAGTTGACTTAAAGGTAAAAGCTTGTTTTTTCTTGCTTTGCATCAATGTATCTAATTCTGATTTTAAAATTCAGAATTCTCCTTCCGGTCTTCTATAGAACAACTTTCATATCAACTTGCTTACATCATCTGAAACATAAAGTCAATGTTGCAGGCATGCCTTTGGTTTTACATTATGTTATATACTGTTTCTTTGTCTTTCAAAATTCTAACACAGCTTTTCCTTTCTCCTGTGGCAGGATGACAAGGACTTGGTTCATGAGTTTGTTGTCGCTGAAGGTCTGACTTGCTTAATCAAAGTGGGAGCAGAGGCCGACCAGAATTATCAGAACTACATCCTGAGAGGTAAAGGAAATGCATCCAAAAGTTGTTTTTATTGCTCTGAAGCTCTCACAGGTCTGCTTCAACTTGCCTTGTTAAGTCTCTTGCAACATGTTCCTCAGTTTGGTCCCGATTCTTGCATGTTATGCAGGAAAATTAAGGGGGATTAATACTCACTGCTGAGCAGGATGAATTGGAAAATTCAAATATTGATAGTCTCTCCATTGTCCAGCTTTTCTTGTAGATCGTACTGAAAATCCGTAATTCTGAGAAAGAAAGGGCATTCTAAAGCTTTCACTGGATAATTGTAAATGTCAAAGGGCACAGAGCAAAATAACTTCTTGGAGTGGGATTAGTAGCTATGGAACAAACAGTGAGACGGTCGTATCTTAAGGACAGTTGGCTGGAAAAAATTTTTAGCTATCTGATATTTTGGAGTTAAACAGGTAATCAGAGGTTTACGTTCTGTTCTTCGCACTTAAAAGATAACTGGCAAAGGTAGGGTTTGGAGAGTGATGTGGAAAAGGTGTGTTACTGGATTAGAAAGCTGATTTACTGTGTTGTGGCCCAAATGAATGCATGCGATTTTGACCTAACCAGGAAACCCAGGCTGCAAATTGAGAGAGTTCCTTCGATAGTTTGAGGGGTTATGAGCAAGGGGAGAACAATCACACCAAGGGATCTTTGCTGCTGGATGATCTCATAGTAAATAGAGAGCGCTAACGAATGCATAGCTGTGGTGGATTGCTCATTTGAATTTTCTTAGACTGGCGTATATAGCTGTCTTTAAAAATGTCACTTTGATGTATTTAGCTGCCAAAACTCAAACTGCAAATTGAGGAGTAAAACAAATACAAAAATAATGAGAAGGATTTCATAAGAACCAGGAATGCAAAGTTATTGAAAGCAAGGATGCAAATAGTAAGTGTGGCTTCATGCGAAGAACTTGAAGACTAGACTGTACGAATACCAGCTTTTGGGGGTGTATAAGAAACCAAACTAGTACCACAAATTATGTTCTGTGTCAGTAGCTGTACAGTGATATAAATGTACTTGAATAGTAGCTTGTATATACTCAAAAGTAGAAGACTACTAACAACAATGAAACTAGACAAGGACACAGAAACATGTGAAAGAAAGATTTTCTTTACAGCTGAAAGAAGAGGTTTCTGGGAGGAAACTGGCCATAGATGCTCTCAGAAAATTCAGACTAGAAGCAAAATAAAAGTGCTGTATAGGACAGTCTGGCCTTCAGTCTAGGGCTTTACTCCTTTATCAGCTCGGCATTCATCTAGTGTGGCTGGATGACGTCTTTTCCCTTCAGCTGGGTTTTGCAGCCAAGTATTGAAAATTCAAAGTAAGGAAGCCTGATAGGTGTTTACGCTACCTGAGTAACCAAGTGGCCTCATAATCCAAACACTGGATAGCCCTGCAGAGCTTCTGCTCCAGTGTCAGATAAGGTCCAGGGCACTGAGCCTCACAGTTGGCAGAATGATCTGCTGATACCAGAGAAGTCAGTAACATCTGAGTGATCTCACCACACTATTGTGCTTGCCTTCATCTTACTGAGATCTCATTTGCCATCATCCAGGTATGGATTGAGAAGAATTAAAACTTCCTTCCACATTGATTTCTTTTTCTTGTTACTAGGATATACCCTAAAGCATCCAGAATTCAGGGAGATGACAGTGATCTCTTTCTTGGTGTGGCTTCTCTAGTTGTGCTGTGTTTAAGAGCTTGGTGTCCATGGTCTCAAGTTAGAGATGTTCCACTGAATTCAGTGAATGATAAAACAGAGCCTTAGTGCCAATGTCCACGGCATCATAATAAGGAAACTGCAAACTCATCTTGTTGCATTGTTATTAACAAGTGGTCACAACTTGTTCAAAATAAATATAAAACAAACAAACCATCACCACCACCAACAACAAAAACTAACCATATGGAAGTAAGCCATAGAGCTAAAACCTTTATTTTAAGAAGATGCTTTTAGAGTTTGGTGTTTTCTGAAATCAGGTCTTTTTTTTCCCCCTATTTTGCTGGTGCGAGAAGCTGAAGTTTCTCTCTAGGTAGTGTATCCTAGCATCTGTTGCAATAATACGATTTTTCTCTGTGATGTGGATTTTATTTCAGAAATTAGATTTGTCTTGATTGTCTTTCAGGAAGTTCAAAGCTTTTTACAACTCCAAGATTATGTCAGCTGGTTTGCAGTTCCAGGAGCCAGCATGTACTTTCTGAATAGGTCTGCATGTGCAATGAGATAAAGATAGGTTTGGAAGTACGGTGCAGCCAGACAATCTTATCCAAATGCATTGAGGAGGGTGCTGAAAAGAAACATTAAATACGTCATGTAAGAATGTTTTTCTGGTGTATTATTTTTGGACGACCATAGCGATTGGTTGGATTTTTTTGTGACAGTCGTGTGTATTATTGCAGTGCTGCATTTTATGAAACTCGGAGTACTGATGAATAGGTTAATAAATTTCACTGAAGATACATCACAGTTAGCACTTAGGGGGTCCCATAAGCTTTAAACTCAGTGTTTAGTTATGGAGATTTAAAAAAGAAAAAAAAGAAGTCATCTTTGTCTAGAATTCTTGTGCCTTACTGTTGTGGTGTCCTTGTCCTGCAGATCTTTTTGGAGTGAAATACATCCTCCTTATTTTCACTCCATTTAACCTAAATCATAAAGGGATGGATTTCTCCTTAATTTCATATTCTGGCTGCATTTCCCCAGCACCTTTGCTGTGATTCACTCTTTTCCTCTTGTGATCCTAACCCAGCTTACAGGGCTTGTGACAGTAAATGGCAGCCTTAGACACAGCATTGCCTCCTCCACCTCCAGGGCTTGCCCATGCGGGGCTGCCCATCTTGACTGAGTGGTTTCCAAGTGTTTCCTATGAACTTGTTTGCCTGTACTCTTCAAGAAATAGCTTTAGTGCCGGGTGCATAGTGCAATAGCCAAGTGCCGGGTGCTGCATTTTGGCCACAACAACCCCATGCAGCGCTACAGGCTTGGGGAAGAGTGGCTGGAAAGCTGCCCAGCGGAAAAGGACCTGGGGGTGTTGGTCGACAGGCGGCTGAACATGAGCCGGCAGTGTGCCCAGGTGGCCAAGAAGGCCAATGGCATCCTGGCCTGTATCAGAACTAGTGTGGCCAGCAGGAGTAGGGAAGTGATTGTGCCCCTGTACTCAGCCCTGGTGAGGCTGCACCTCGAATACTGTGTTCAGTTTTGGGCCCCTCACTACAAGAAGGACGTTGAGGTGCTGGAGTGTGTCCAGAGAAGGGCAACGAAGCTGGTGAGGGGTCTGGAGAACAAGTCTTCTGAGGAGCGGCTGAGGGAACTGGGACTGTTTAGCCTGGAGAAAAGGAGGCTGAGGGGAGACCTCATCGCTCTCTACAACTACCTGAGAGGAGGTTGTAGCGAGGTGGGGGTTGGTCTCTTTTCCCAAGTAACAAGCGATAGGACGAGAGGAAATGGCCTCAAGTCACACCAGGGGAGGTTTAGATTGGACATGAGGAAAAATTTCTTGACTGAAAGAGTGGTTAAACATTGGCACAGTCTGCCCAGGGAAGTGGTGGAGTCCCCATCCCTGGAGGTATTTAAAAGACGAGTAGATGAGGCACTTAGGGACATGGTTTAGTGGACATGGTGGTGTTGGGTTGACGGTTGGACTCAATGATCTTAGAGGTCTTTTCCAACCTTAATGATTCTATGATTTAGACCTGGGAGGGAAAATAGGTTGGAAATATATGTATATGTAAGGGTTGTAGGTGGTTCAGTGAGTTCCCAGGTACAAGTTACTTCTTGAGGACATTGCTTTCCTTTTTCTAAAGGTCTGCATTGCTTCACTCTAATGTTTCCTGCTTGTGAAGTTCTGCTTAGTGGGGTTTTTTTAGTGGTTTTGCCTTGGTTCAAGCCAGACCAAGCTGCCAAAAAAATGACTAAATATGAGTCACAAAAGTTTTAGTTACTTTAATGGGTAAGTGAAGTGTGGCTTTTACATACAATACTGAGAAATCCAGACAGTTTATTGTTGAGTGCTAAGGGAGTGGCTGTTTATTTCTGCTCGGGTCCCCCCAGCTAGAGTTGTTTGACAGTAGCTTTCCCAAAGTGTTCCCTTTTGTCACTGTATAGTGTATAGGTCCTAAACCAACAGTAGCCAGGGCTTCTCTCGAGAGTTATTCTGTTGAAAGACTAGTTTAGAAAACAGCTTTATTTTCCTCTGTACTTTTTAGTTCTTCACCCTAAATATATTCTTCGACATTGCTTTGAATTATTATGGAGATGTAAAGAAACTCTGTGTTTTGAGGGATTTTTTTTTTTTCCCCCACAGAAACAGGCTTGCTTCCTTCCTCCCCCTCCCCCCTTCCTTTTTTCTCCTTTGGTGACAATTATCCATAAGAATGATGAACTTCACTCATAGCACTGAAGTTAAAAGTTTCTGTCCCAGTTACAAGATTTGTGGTATGGTGGGTGTTGCCTAAATATTCAAAAATAAGTGGAAATTGGTGAAAGATGAAAATGTCCACAACTGATGAGGATTAATATAAGTCTTACTGTAATTTTGAAGATGCCTTCGATATAATTTTAAAATCTTCTGTTCCTTGCACAGAATGAGAAAGCAACACATGAACTGCCATGGCTGAGCACAGACTAATTAAATAATTGGTAGAATTATGGCAGGGGTCACAGTCTTCATGTTTTCTGTTAATTTAGCTAGTGCTATTCGGAAGGTGAGAAGGAAAAGCAGCTTGTGTAGACCAAGGCTTAATTGTTTTAAAAATATACTGAAAAAGTGAGGTATTGGGGGTTCAGGGGTCAGTCTGTTGACACCATGATGTAAGAAGTTCTACTTGGTGGGATTCTGTCCCGTCTGTCCCTCGCATCCAATGAGGAGGTTGTCAAAAGGTCATCCAGCCTTTTTTGCAGAGCGTATTTTTGTCCTTGGATCCCTAATTGCCTGCTTGTGGATTCAAATCAGTATTTAGTGGTATCCATAATTAGATGAAAGCTAGAGTTC